TTGGTCTCTGTGCTGACAGCTTCAGATCCTGTCCCTCTCTGCTGTTCCTCTGCTCTTGTGTGCTATCTCCAAAAAAAAAAAAAAAAAGGAAACAACTTTGGCGTGACTGTCCACAGTGTGGGAACAGGGCAGGGGGTGGTGAAGACATTAAAACAGATGGGATGGAGCACGCCAGGGAACTTCTTCAGAGTCTCCTGCCCACGGCCGTAACGACAGCGTCCCGTGAACCAAGCGGACCGAATGGCCGTCACAGAGCTCCTGCCTGAGGCGGGAGGGACTTTGCAGGGTAGATTCCAAGGGCCCCCGAGGACAGCGGCTGGAACAGTGGGAGACGAGGTTGGACAGAGGCAGGCCAGGCCGTCCCGGGCCTCCCGGGCTCGGTAAGGTCTTGGGATCTGATTGAAAATGTATTTGAAGGGGTTCAGAGGACGTGTTCTGTTTTTGTGCTTCCAAAAAAAAAAAAAAAAAAAAAACGATCCTGGTGGGTCCATGTGGAGGCATGGGTGGTTTCAGGGACAGCAGGTGGAAGGTCATCATGGGGAGGTCCAGGCGAGATGGGATGCCAAGGCTTGGCTGCGTTCCAGATCCATGGATCGAGCCCCCAGCGCATAAGCACACGTGGCCGGGCACCGTCTACAAGCAGAGACGGGCGCTAGATGCCTTTAGGGCAGGAGGTCAAGAGGGGTCTGTTCTAGTGCCATGGCAACCGCTGCACCTGTGAAATTATTATCAAAATTCTTATCATTTAGAGTTCCGGTCCAAAGGAAGTGTGACGTAAAACCCTAACGTAGCGAGAAATCTGAGTTAAATAGATTTTTAAACAAAACTTAAATGTGTCAGGACATCGCCTCAGCTATAGGTGCACACAGTGTGTTCTCCAAGTAAAATTGGGGTTTTTTACACAATTCGACGCCATCTCCTCAGTCTTTTTGCCTTGTGTGGTATGTTTATACTTCAGTGTAAACTCAGAACCTCCGTTTCCCCATCTGTGAAATAAGGATTGCATTGCCTTGCCGGTTGCTTTAGAGCTAAATGGCATAGGGCTTGGCATGTGGGAGAAATCTGGCAAAGCCCTGGCTACTGTTCACGACAGCCTGGAAAACACCTCAAAGCATTTCTCTGATTCATAAGGAGGCGGCAAGGTAAGGTGATTTCCTTTTGCGGTGAGGAAGGTGATTTCCAAGGACACTAATTGAGATGGCCCAAGTCCCCGAGGGAGCCTTCGTTAGAGGTCGAGCACCTGTGCGATGCACTCAGACCCACGACTGCGCCGGAGATGCGAGTCTCCCTGCCCGATCCCGCCACGCGTGCTTCTCTTGTTTATTGCCTCTTGGATTATTGCTTACTCTACCTCTGTGTTTCAGAGCCCGTTTGGTTCCAAAAACCAGAAGCTTCCGTAAAGAGCAAGCAGACCAGGTCTGAGCTCTGAACGCATCGCTGGAGGTTTTCTGGCTGTGGATTAGTTGACAAGAGACAGCTTGCGGGAAACAAAAGACCTTCCCCATGTTTTAATTCCGCACTGTAGTGTGCTGATGTCTTTCAGCCGTTTTTTCTGTAGAGCTTGAGACCGTTGTGCCAAAGGCCACAACCAGCCTAATTTTGGTAGTATTTATCCAGGTTCTGAGCACCTTTTCCTTTCCAAGTTAGGGACATTAAAAAGTTTAACAAAGTCACCTGTTCTAGACCTGACGTGCTCTTCTGACAAGTCTTACAAGTCTTTAACACTTTCTGTAAAATAGTAACGCTTGTATTCCTGTGTCCTTATAATCACATTTCCCAAGTGTGGATTCTTTTTCTCTCTCTCCATCTCCGGGAAAGTAGTAAGAGCCTGTTACTTCAGTACTCACACACAATAGATAACCACGGCCAGAGACGAGTACTGATGAAGTCATGGTCCGGGCAGTGTGAGTGGACCGGGAACAGGCTTCTGTCCCACGTAAAAGGAGAGATTGCCCCGGGCGAGAAGAACCCTCTTGTGGCCTCGAGGATTACAGCAGTGTTGTGCTTGGCATCTGCTAGATTTCTTGTGATATTAACACTTTCTCTGTGGCTTTCTTGTTGCCTTGTTACATTTTTAACTACTTTAAACCTTTTTAAAAAACACATCTTGAACTTTTGTCGTCCTGATTCTAGTATACGTATGCTGGAGTGAACACACACATCTTGAACTTTTAAACCTCTAAGTAAGGGGCGCCTGGGTGGCTCAGTCGGTTAAGCGTCCGACTTCAGCTCAGATCATGATCTCACAGTTTGTGGGTTCAAGCCCGGCCTCGGACTCTGTGCTGACAGCTCAGAGCCTGGAGCCTGCTTCAAATTGTGTCTCCCTCTCTCTCTCTGCCCATCCCCTGCTCATGCTGTCTCTCTCTCTTTCTCTCTCTCTCTCTCAGAAATAAATAAAAAATTTTTTTTAAATTTAAACCTCTAAGTAAGTAAAAAATTCTAATGGGTGACGTTTTCGATTAGGGAAATCAGTGCCTTAAGTACATACACTTCTTTGAAACACTTTTATAACCTACTTTTTTAAGTTTGTGAGGGGAGATCCTGGATTAACATTATATATTGAAGATATTCTAAGATTAATTTTTAAAAGATTAAGTGATTCTTACAGCCACTTTCACAAGCAACTTGTGACCTTGTCAGTACTGATGAAGTCACATGATAAATTCATTATATTTTTTTACTTCAAGTCAAAGAGTAAATGTGACTGAATTCTCAATGTTTGCTACCATTAATTTATTTCCTTTTTTTTTTTTCAAAGTTTACTTTTTTTGAGAAAGAGAGAGAGAGAGTACAAACAAGGAGGGGCAGAGAGAGAAGGAGAGAGAGAATCCCAAGCAGGCTCCAAGCTCAGTGTGGAGCCTGACATGGGGCTCAATCTGATGACTGTGAGACCATGACCTGAGCCTAAATCAAGAGTCAGATGCCTAACTGACTGAGCCACCCAGGCACCCCTTACTTTAAAATTTTTTAAAAATCCTGGGGCACCTCGGTAACTTAGTCGGTTGGGCATTCAACTTAGGCTCAGGTCATGATCTCACGGTTCATGGGTTCAAGCCCTGCGTCAGGCTCTATGCTGACAGCTCAGAGCCTGGAGCCTGCTTCAGATTCTGTCTCCCTCCCTCTCTGCCCCTCCCCTGCTCATGCTCATGCTCTGTCTGTCTGTCTGTCTCTCTCTCAGAAATAAATATTTTTCAAAATTATAATATTTTAAAAATCTGAATTGTAATCTTTACCCAAATTAACTGATAGCAGTCACTTTGTTTTTCTTCCCCTAAAGAGATAAACAGATATAGATAAACAGTTTTCTATCTTAGGTCTTTCTTGTGTACTTCAAGTGAAATTGCAAATAATTTCGGTTTGTTTGGGCTGGGTGGCTAGAGAGGGCATTTCCTTCTGAAGAAAGATTACCTTTATATCTCACAGTGTAAAATTCACTTTGGTATTTCAGGTGTTCTTGGTCAGACGTCTATGGGGTTCATATTGTCCTCTAGTATTGCTCTTCTTTGTATTGTTTCATTATATTGTGCTTTTTGTCTCACTGGGAGGCGCATACCTTTACAAGACAGCTTTACGCTGAATGGATTCTTGCATTTGGAGCTGGCACGCACAGCTTTGCTAAGAGAAAGTAACACCTCCTCTGTGGGGAGCAGTTCTGACCTAGTTTCTGAAATCTGGTTGAGGGGGTAAAACACCCAGACCCCGTCCATATGTCCAAAGTAATCTACACCAACAGGTGCAGTTAGGAATGAAAGGCCAGTGCAGTCATGTCAGTTATTTGTTTTAATTTCTCATTCACACCGCTGACCCGTTATTGAGCCCGTTAACTTTTGTTCCTCTCGTTAACACCGAAAATACAGACGACACCAAGTTCTCTTTCTAGTCCGCACTGCAACGGGCGTGTCCATCCTAAGAATCGAGCAACACTGTAGAGTGACGGAACACCCAGTATGTGAGTGGAAAGCCTCGCATCTCAGATTTTTGTGTGTGTTTAACTCCAGCCGTCCCAGGCCAAAGAAACTCTTGAACTGCTCATGGCGGAGAGGGAGGAGCCCACAGGGCCTGTGGAAGAACAGGGTAGATGTAGGAAGGGAGGGGACTTTTTCGTCCGAGGAAACCCTGAAGTGAGTGCAAGTTAATCTAATTGAAGTTGACCTGTGTGGACCTTGATGCCAGCAGCTCTCAAACTCAGTACTCTGTGCACGTGTGCACCTCAGGTAGCCCATTAGAAAGGCTCCTCAGGGTGAAGTATGCTGTGCACGTGTGCACCGCAGGTAGTTCATTAGAAAGGCTCAAGGCTCTGTGTCTATATCCTGATTGTTTTGTCATCCGTCCACGTAACCATCGTGCGTGTGTGACAGGGCTTTCCATACAAGATTTCTGACATCATTACCTCGGGTTCACAGATTCGGAGAGGCTGTCGGGGATGTCCATGGCTGGTCCCACAGCCACATAGCTAGGAAACAGAGAGAGGTGGGCTCACATGCTACATGCTGTCTCCCAGGCTCTTTCCTTTGACACTCTGCCCTCTCAGAGATTAGCTAAGAGAATCCGTTTCTGGGACGTACGTGTGAAATTGTTCAGTGTCCTTGACCCATTTCTTGTCAGAAAAATTTTGAATTCACACTTCAGTGTCATTTCAGTTTCTGATATCTTCCCTTTTATGGCAGAAGAGACTCCCCACATTTTAACCACAGACAATCAGCTGTGACGGGTCAGAATGGGCCCCTCTTACACATTAGGTGAACGTCCGCTCAGGTCTAAGGCCTCGTGAAGCCTAATTAATAGCAACAGAGCATTTAGACTCTCTGGGCCAGTTAATAGTAAAAATAAAAAACCACAACATCGTCCTCAACGTCCTCACCTTACTCTATTGGCTTCGGTTACAACGTCCTTATATCAGGCCCTCAGGTAACTCGGGTTGGTTGGTTGGGTCGAGTCAGTAGAACGGAAATGAACCTGCGGAGTTTCTTGACTGAGTGCCCTGTCTTCCCCTTTTCCAGGTCTATTATCAGCAGGAGATTCTTCTGCATAGTCGGCACGCTGTACCTGTATCGGTGTATCACAATGTACGTGACCACACTCCCGGTGCCCGGCATGCATTTCAACTGCTCTCCCAAGGTACGCCTTCGCTCGCTGTCACTGCCCTTCACCCCTGCCTGTCCTCTGTGCCCGCGGTTCTTTGACTACTACCGGAGGTGGAAGTGTCTTTAGAACACAGTCGGGGCGTGTCCCTGAGCAGCGTGGCCCCGCGCCCCGCCCCCTGCCCCAAGTCCCCAGGCCCCCCACCCCCACCCCCCACAGCGCTCCCCGGCTGCGAGCCTCTATGGCCTGGTGAGCACCCGAGGCCGCCGAGCTCTGTGTGTGGGTGTAGCTCTCTAGTTTTCCTGCCACACTTTTAAAATATCATTCGCTCCCTTGACACGGATCCAAGAGCTTTTGTTTGCTTTTTCCCTGTCTTGGATGGAAAGTTCGGCTTCCAGTGATATTTTTTCCTTCTTTCTATTAATGCCTGCGGTGGCCATCTCTAAGGGCAGAGCGGAGACGCTGTCCCCTGTCCCCTAGCCCCTCCACCCACCCGAACAGGATCACTGTTCCCGGAGGCGCCTTGTGGCCCTACTGATCTCTGATGGCACAGAGACCTTTCCTTAAAATAAACCCCGTGTCTCTCTTGTGGTCTCTGTTTTTCCAGTGGGTTCACAAAACAACCCTTTACCTTTCAATGCTTCCAGCTAGGGAGATCACTGGAGCTTTTAAAATAATGAGCAGAAGACCGAGTTTTAAAAATGTTGCCTTGCACCAAAGCTCTAATGCAGTAAGCAGAGGCCGGCGCCCTCGGTTAGGGTGGGGGAGAAAACGGGATGCCCCGATGTGTTTGCAATGATTTCTTCGCATCGCACTCATGTTGGTGAAATGCCCAGACCCTTTCAGCTCCCTCCCTTTTTACGTTTGTTCTTTCTGGAAGAGTCTCTGCTGGAACCGTGGGAGAGAGCTGAAAAATGTACTGGATGTTTGCAGTGATGTCGTTCTCATTTGACAGTTTGAATCCGCTAAGTCACATGCTTGCTTACTGCTTCCTCTTCCTTCTAAGACTTAGGGGTGAGCTCAGGAGGGTCGCAGGGCCCCTGCTTTTCTCTTGCCCCGTGTTCGCTTCAGACTCTTTGCTCTGGAGAAGCCACCTCAGGCCCGAGTGGTCCCAGCTTCCGCCCACCCCTCACAGCGACCCCACGCCCCTCCATCTTCCCCCTCGTGCCCTCTGCCTCCCCGGAAGCCAGCTTCCCATCTTCTGTGGCCTCCGGGAAACCCCTGGAGCGCTTGCCTGGGGCTGCTGGGCTGTAGGAAGGACCTCACGGTGCGGCCCGGCGGTGTGTGCAGACGCTGGGTGGGAGGCTGCCTTGAGGAGCAGCATGCCCTCAGCAGTAGGCTCACCTTGGAGCTTGGATGCGCCTCGGTTGAGTTCAGCCTCTTAAAAGAAGTCCGCGTGCGCCTCGGGCAGTGTCTCCAGCAGGAAGCGTGGCTCAGGGTTAGGGGGATGTGCCGTGAGGCCAGGCCCGCAGACCCAGATCCGCCATGAAGGCTCATGGCACGTGGCCACGCTCCCTGCCCCGATCCCTACTCTGCTTCTCCTTGCGGCCTCTCTGGCGTCCCGTGCCATCCCACATCTGGGGCCACTGGCACCCACAGGCTGCCTGGGTCCTTGGCAGACCCAGCCAAGTTCCCATGGCTAGAAATAGTTGTGGTTTTTCCCGGTAGAGACAGAGGCCACAGCGGAACTGTGCGCGCGCGCACACACACACACACACACACAAAGTGCATCAGTTTATGGTGTGGCCGGAAATCCTGCGCCGTCCCTCATGAAGGTCACTTAGAAACTGGGGTTTTTTAAATAAAAGAACACAGGAGGGAATGAAATTTGAGCACAGCTTAGCAACAATAATTGGTTAAAATGTGTTAAATCTAATTACTTATTTTGTAGAATAGGCTCTTGGAAGAAGGGATTCAGAAAACAGTTTTTATGCCAAAACTGTTCATAGGCGCCTCCCAGAGTAGAGAACCTCATTTATGGAAGCTGTACTGACCCAGCGCCCAGACTGTGATTATCAAGACTGGCTGCGTTAGCTTCGTTTCATTTTATTTCTAAGTATTTAAAAAAATATTTAAATGTTTTTAATGTTTTTTATTTATTTTGGAGAGAGTGAGTGAGAGCATGAGCAGGGGAGGGGCAGAGAGAGAGAGACACACACACAAAATCAGAAGCAGGCTCCAGGCTCTGAGCTGTCAGCACAGAGCCCGGTGCGGAGCTCAAACTCACAAACCATGAGATCATAACTTGAGCCGACGTCAGATGATTAACCGACTGAGCCACTTGGGTGCCCCTTGAAGTATTTTAAAACAGGCCTCACACAATGCCATTTCACGGCTACATACTTCAGTATGCATCTGAAAAGTTTGGACATTTTTTGGATAACTTTCATGCTGTTGGCATAGTCAACATAATCAACTATAATTCTTTGGTATTGGCAATTCAAAGTTCATAGACTATCTTGATTATCTTAAAAATGCCTTTAAAAAAATTGGTTTGTGCCAAGTTAGAGGAGCCAGCGTCTTTACATTTAGTTCATCTGTCTCTCCAGTCTGCAATTGTAAGACGTTCCTTTCTTTCTCCCTTGTTTCTGACTTCAGCCCCATTAGTAACCCATAGACATCACAGCAGCTGTTCCGGGGCGGGGCAGTAGGGGATCCCACATTCTGGATTTACCCGTTAAGCCATTTTCTCTCCTCCATTTTTTCTCTAAAGAGAAAGCTGGCTCTGGAGATTTGATTCTAGATCAGTCATACCTCCGTCCGCAGCAACGGTCCCCAGGAGAAAGGGAATGGTTGCTGAGGCTGGACAGAGGAGTCGGGGAGGCCAGGGCCACTGCTGGCATGGCAGGCCAAGCTCCAGGAAGTCGAGCGGCCGGTCGAGGGCTAGAACAGTGTCAGAAAGGGGAGAAGGGGGCACTAGAGGGGGACCCCAGACCCGAGAGTGCTGCCCACAGCCAATCAGGATTGAAAGGAGCTCCAGGAAGTGACCCCATGCGGTGCTGTGTGTGGTCCCTCCATAGCCCCTCCTCTTCATCAGTCTCCCCCTGAACCCCTGCACAGAGAGGGGGCCTCTCACCCCCTTAGAATACAAACCAACTGAGGAAAGAGTGGCAGGAAGAACTGAGGTCAGAGTCAGGAATATCTCACACAACTGCTTCCCAGCCCTGGCAGTTTTGTTGACCTTGTCAGTGCCTCAGTTTCCTTAGTGGCCACACAGCACTAAGTGACACTTTCTGGGTCTGCCTGAAGGAGCTCTGGGGGAGACGGTGGCTCTGTCAATAGAAACTGCCAAACGCAGGTTATCGTCACCATGCTTCATCCCTGCCCCCCTCCTGTCTGGTGAACGTCTCACGTGTGTGGCGATCCTGTGTGGTCATGTGTGGTGATCGTGTGCGGGTATGTATGGTGACCGTGTGTGGGCGTGTGTGTTGATAGTGTGCAGGCATGTGCGGGCATATGCAGTGATCGTGTGCATTGATCATGTGTGGTGATCCTGTGCAGTGATCGTGTACGGGCGTGTGTGGTGATCCTGTGGTGATCATGTGCGGGCGTGTGGTGATCCTGTGGGGTGATTGTGTGCAGGCGTGTGTGGTGATCAGGGGAGGAAGGAGGAGCGGCCTCCCTCAGTGCACCCGTCAGAGCTGAGCCCCCCATAGACATGCAGAGGGGAGTTGGTGTGTTCAGCGGCTCTGCTAGGAGTTCCTGGGATGCACATGGCCTGTGGCCTAGTGGGTGTGAGCCGGCCTGACACAGTCATTGGTCCCATTAACGTTATCAGAGCTTTTCTGCCAACAGCGCATGAACCAATCAGAACACAGCCTCCTGTCCTCTCATTCCCATCGTTTGGATTCAGTTTCTTTCTTTCTTTTTTTATGTTTTATTTATTTCTGAGAGAGAGAGAAACAGCATGAGCAGTTTGGGAGGGTCCGAGAGAGAGGGAGATACAGAATCTGAAACAGGCTCCGGGCTGTCAGCACAGAGCCCAACACGGGGCTCAAACCCACGAACTGCGAGATCGTGACCTGCGCCAAAGTTGGACACTTAACCGACTGAGTCACCCAGGTGACCCTAGAATCAGTTTTTAAAAAGAAAACAGAAAGACGGAAATATTTGCAAATTCTGGGGTATCCTTAGCTCTCTGTAGGAAAGTTTGCTCTGCCTGTCGGAACAAAGTAAGACCCGCTTGGGTCCCCAGGTCCACACTAGCCTGCGGCTGATGGAGGAGAGACTGTGGGCTGTTTTCAGCTCTGACTCCAGGAACCATGCGATGGACTCCGTGGCGGAGATCAGGGTGAGGTGCGTCCTGGGTTCTGCTGTGTGGTCTCCATGGTGACCTTGGAACAGAGAGGGTCACGGTCACATCACAGCAAGGGCACTCAGCTGGCTGGGGCCGTGATCTGACATGGTATCTTCGGTGACGTGGGTCTCTTGAACTGGGAAGAGCACTGATGTTCTTTCCTCCCCCCCCGCCCCCCATCATGCACTTGAACGTGGCCCGCTGTTGGACAAGCTGTGTTTGGGTGGCACCTGGGGTTCACTGTCCAGCAGCAGGGACAGAACGACCTCCATGCTCTCCTGTCCACGTCCCAGAAACCAGAAGGAGCCGGGCTCCTGCTCCAACTCGCAGCTGAGCCGAGGGACCCCACCCTTGCTCTGTGGGACCTTGTGGCCTATTCTGGTACTTTCTCGGGTTCTCAGGGGGACTCCCAAGTGTCAGGCGGCCCTGCATGCTCACCGATCCCAGGTTGTGACTAGGACCCACGATCTTGTTGGCTGTGAGAACACGGCCTACGTCCATTACCAAAGTGGCTCCATGTCCTTCAGTGGAATCATGTGGAATTTAATTAGTGAGCGATTTCACCTAATTTTCTGCTTGCTGCCCCATTTCTTACCGTCACTGTGACCCTCCTTTCCGTTCCTTCTCACTTTTAACTATTTCTCACAAGTAATTTCCAGAACCTTCCCTATCCCAAGGCTCTTCCTGTGGCTGCCTCCACTGTTCTCTTCCTTTTGAAGGGACAAAAAAAAAGGAAAAG